AAATAGTAATAAATAATAAATTAGAAAAAAAAAAATAATAAATAATCATTTTATATAAAAAAGTGAGATATAATTCTTAAATATTTTGTAATAATTTTTTACTTACTCCTAAATGCTAATATATTTTAATACTATTTTATATTAATATTTTAAAAGAGCAAACTTTCAAGGTAATAAGTTGTGTCGAGGCTTGGTCAAATTTGGCTATTAATTAGTTGATTGTATCTGACTCACGAGCATTTATCAAGTTGAGCCCGAGCAAGGCATGAGTTAGGTCAACTCACTTACACCTCTAGTTGAAGCTTTTGTGGCTTATAACTAATCATGATCCTTTGATAAGATTTAAGTCATCATTTTGAAATTAATTTTTTTAAAAAATTCATTGATTCAATACATTAGTTTTAACAGCCCAAACTCGTAATTATCGAGATATTGTTCTCTTTGGCCTAAAAGCCTCACAGTTTTGTCTTGTAAGTGTAACTTTCTAGTAGGTAAATTATCCTAGAATTACTCTGGAATAAGCATGCTTAATTGCAGAGTTTCTAAATGAAATTACAACCATTACATCAAAATGCTCATTGATGTTTAAGAGTTTAACTTCTTTTACTTAAGGGGTTTCACATTAGCATCTCCCACACCTCCTTAGATCATCTCAAACCGAAAAAACTCATTTTCCAGTCCAAAAATACATTAATACTTCAAAATACAGTAATTTATCTCCAATCAAATTATATTTCTTAGCACAAAAATAATACTATGTATATATTCTTTCTCAATCACACGTGCTAACCTTACTCCCCTCAGCTTTCTCTGTTTTCACAAAAATTATGTTTATGAATAGTACAGCTCCAATATTGGCGTCGTTCTGTTCATGAACTAGAAAATAATGCTTCTTTTGTTGTTCGATTGGAGAAATTCGCGGACGCCATATGGGCGTATAAAATTTGGTTGGAGATTACCTTAGTTTTCATATTGCATCCCCATTTTATCATAACAACATAATTTCCCTCTTGATTTTTGACTTATCTCCTAGCCAATATTACCTAATCTCAGTTTTGGTATCCTCATCAACCCTAATGTACCTTCACAAGTCCTCAAATTACCTTTTCCTCCCTCTAAAATCCCTATAATTGGTCCTAAGACTCAAGGAGTTTAACAAATTCTAAGAGTGAGGAGTTATGAGTAAACCTAATTTAGATTAATTAATTATTTGATCAGTTACTATAGATTGGTTGCATGTTAGGAAAAAACCCCTTTCCTGTCAGTTGCAAAACCGCTGTGCAAAATCTCTTGCAACACATAACAATTACGACGATTTTGTAGTTATTTTGAAAATGCTACATGTTTTTCGTGGCGGTTAAATCGTTGGGAAAGCCCTTTAAAAATGCTACAAAAGCTATTTTTTCTTGTAGTGAACATGACGATGTTCTGGAGATGACAATTAGATGATAGTAGCAGGGAGATGACGGTGGCAATCAATGATCATCGACATTGGACATCATGTAAATCTCTAGAATTCTTTAG